TCCTCCCCTCTCCTGGGACCACCTTCTCCCCTTTACCCCTCACCCATCTCCCCCGCTCCTGACTCCCCTTTCCCCATCTCTCCCCTCTCCCAGCTCCCCTCTGAGCTGCCCCTCACGTCCCCTGTCCCCTCTGTCCCCCCTCAGGCCGCCATGACCAAGCTGGGGCAGTGGCTCTTTGGGCTGGCCCTGCTGGGCTCAGCCTGGGCTGCTCTGGCCCTGGCCCCGCCGGGGCTGCCGGCGCCGCTCCGCCAGGCCCTGCTGCCCCTGCCCGTCTACCTGCTGGTGGCCTTCGGCTGCTACTCGCTGGCCACCGTGGGCTACCGCCTGGCCACCTTCAACGACTGCGAGGAGGCGGCGGCCGAGCTGCAGGAGCACATCAGGGCGGCCCGGGCAGACCTGCGGCGACAGGGGCTGCGCCTGTGACAGCAACAAAACCTGGGGACAGCGGCTGTGACAGCAACAAAACCCAGGGACAGCGGCTGTGACAGCAACAAAACCCAGGGACGGCGGTTGTGACAGCAACAAAACCCAGGGACGGCGGCTGTGACAGCAATAAAACCCAGGGACGGCGGCTCCTGGCGCTGCTCTGTCACCCCAGGCCATTGCTGAGGGCACTGGGGGTCCTGGGTGCTGCTGGAAGAGCCCCTTGGGGGGGGAATCACTCAGTGTGGGGTGGGTGTCTGGAGGGGTCTCGGTGCAGGCTGTTTGCCCACTGCCCTGAGGGGCTTTCAGGAGCCCCCCACCCCTGGCCTCTGCCTCCTCCGGGGAGCTCCCTGTGGATCTGGGCTCTGCAGGTGGATGCAGGGCCGTGCCCTGGCTGCCCTTTAGATGTGGTTTGCCCCCGGCAGGTTGGGAGCTGGAGGAGCCTCATCCCGCCCCGCTGGCCGCGTTCCCGGGAAGGAGGAGAGGGACTGGCTTGGGTGGAGGGGGCGGCGGAGCCTTTAAACCACGGCGTGGCCCCTCCCTGGGGGTGTTCCGGGGAGCTCCCCGCTCCTACCGGCTCCTCTGCCCATCCAGAGCTCCACACCAGGCAGGGAGGGCTCTGCCTGGGGGTGCCCCACACCCTGGGACCCCCCGCCCGCCGTGCCCAGACCTGGCTCCTCCAGCCGAAGGATTTTGGGATTTTAAGGAGAGGCTGCGCGTCCCCGGGAGGGAGGGCCCGGGTTAATTAGCAGGAGCGGCTAATTAGCTGTTTCCTGGGCAGCAGAGGCAGCTGGGAGCAGGGTGAGAAGCTCCCGGCGTTCACCAGCACGGGGCTGGTTGAGGGGGGCGTGACACCACCCCGGGTTCAGCCACTTTGAGGGGGCTTGGTGGGGTTGGGACCACAGGGTGAGAGACAGTGGTGCTCTGGGGGCTTCTGACAGCTCTTTGTGGGATACTCAGGGCCATCAGGGGCTTCTCATGGCCATCAGGGGCTCCCAGTGGTCATTCAGGGCCTCCTCACAGCCCTCTGTGGGCTACTCATGACCCTCTGCAGGATCCTCGTGGCCATGGTCATTCAGGGGCTACTCCCAGCCCTCTGTGGGCTACTTAATGGCAATCCAGGGCCTTTACTCATGGCCATCCAGGACCTACTTGTGGTCATCCAGGGGCTACTCCCAGCCCTCTGTGGGCTACTCATGGCAATCCAGGGCCTTTACTCATGGCCATTCGGTGGCCACTCGTGTCCATCCAGGGGCTACTCGTGGTCATCCAGGGGCCACTCGTGACAATCCAGGGCCTCTCCTCACAGCCATCAAGGGCCACACAGCCTGTCCAGCAGCAGCAGCAGCTCCTCCCTGCGTGGCAGCGTCCGGGGAAGCCGCTCCGCTGCCTCGGGCCTGGCGCGCGCGGCCACGTCACGGAGGCAGCCGGAGCGACCGGTCGGGTGTGTCCGTGGGGAAAGCTGCCCTTTCCCGGGGCTGTGGGGCTGGGCTGGGAGCTGCTGGAAGCGCTGCTGGAGAGAGTGGGGGGCTCCTCCCTGCCAGGAGCAGCCGGAGCAGGCAGGAGGGACAAGACGGAGCACGCCAGGAGCTCGTCCTCCCTCCCTCCTTCCCATTCCCTCCGCACAGATCCCATTCCCTCCGCACAGATCCCATTCCCTCCACACGGATTTCTTCCAGGCTTTGTGTGGGAGGCCTGAGCTGCAGCCCCGGCTCCTGCCACCGCTTCCTTCATCCCACTGGAGCGCAGGTGGGGGTCCCGGGGGGTCTCCTGCACACGGGGAGGGGTCACTTTTCGCAAGGCTCCGGGGTGTTTGCTGTGTGGTTTCGCACCGGCCTGATATCTTCATCCCAGATCGCTGTTAATTGATCAATTGACGCGGGGTCGATTCCTGATCCGGGCCTGCTCGATCCGTGGGGGGTTTAACAGGGATTTCCATCGATTCCCAGCTCCCAGAGTGGCAGCAGCTCCGCAACAGAATTTCCTCCCTTCCCTGGTGGCCCCAGGTGGCAGCTCAGGGGGAGGTCAGAGCAGCCCCTTGTCCCCTCCCTGCCCCAACCCAGTCCCGTGCCCAGTCCCTTCCCGACACCAGGGCTGATGTTTCCCTAATGCTGGAAGGGTTTGCTGGAGCCTAGAGGGTGGCAGGATGATGCCCCACCAGGAGGAGCCCCTGGATGGCCACAAGGAGCCCCTGGATGGTCCTGAGTAGCCCCCAAAGTGGCTGTGGGGACACAAGCCATCCCGGCCCCTGCAGCAGAACACCAGGAGGATGGAGGGACAAAGACCAGACACTGGGAAGTCTCTGATTTATTAAAAGGCACTTGAATCCATACAAAAACAAAAGATGCCCAGGCCCCTGGCAGCCCCAGCCCGGCACCAGGCAGGGCCGTGGGCGTGGAAGACCACCCTCCCACCCTGGGATCTGGGGGTGCTCCTGGCACCCCGAAGGCATCGCTGAAGGACGCGGGGCTGGGTCGCACCGAGGCAGGAGGTGCCTCCTGGTATCCCCTCTGGGAGGGGACAGCGGTGGCACCCAGGGCTGTGGCGGCAGGGCCAGCCCGGGCTGGACTTGGGGGGCTCCTCGGGGGGCCCCTCAGGCGGGCAGGGGGCTGTAAGACTTGTCCTGCCCCGGCCGGTACCAGCGGAACAGCCAAAACCGCACGAGGCTGGTGACGATCCCCGGCACGTTGGGGACCTGCGGGAGGACACGGGGGGAGAGCGGATCTACCCCTCCCCCCCTTGCCGTGCCGGGGGTGGTTTGTTGGCCCCGTCCCAGCTAATTAATTAAAATCAATCGTCATCGTGCCGAGCCTTGTCACGGGCTCAGCCGGGTGACACACGCGGCGCCGGATGGGGCCGGCCCTGAGCCAACGGCTCAGCTGGGCCAGGAGCGGGACGGGATGGGCTGGGATGGGGTTGGGATGGACTGGAGTGGGGTGGGATGGAGTGGGATGAGATGGGATGGGGATGGCATTGGAATGGAGTAATGGGATGGGCTGGACTGGGCTGAAATAGAGTGGGATGGGATGGAGTGGGATGAGCATGAGATGGGATGGGTTTGGGATGGGGTGGGATTTGGGGTCACAATGGGGATGTGGTGGGATGGGCTGGACTGGGCTGAAATAG